CTTCCATACTTTATCTAGGCATTTGATGTAACCATAAGACATGTGACGAAAAACGTTCGACGCGCTAAAAATAAGTACGGACACAAATTAGGCCCAATTTAGCTTTATATCAGGTGAGGTAGCATTTATTTGTTGATATCGTGTTACAATCGAAATAATACATCCAAATCTGTGATTTCAAATCGCTTGATAAAATGACTGTTTGTCGTTCGGTTGCGTATTGTAGCTGATTTTTTGCCATTCGTGTTTTCGCCCCACGAGCGAAAACACGCTAAATTGCGGAGGCGCTTGGCGAGGTTTAGTAAAATAATTCGCCCCGCGGGGCGCGGAGCAAGATTTATGAAATAAAACGACGTATTAGCGTGTTTTCTCTTCGCGACACGTCCATTTTTACTTGTTAATTCTCGACCTTTCGCTTGGCGGGGTCGTGGGACGAAAAGTTGCCCACGGGCTCATTTATAAAATATGTAACTGACGGCAATATATATTTTTTTATTGTAAATAACCGATTGGGTCATGGAAAAGGACTATGTTTAATGACAGCTATGGAAGAGATACCAAAAATCCTCTATATTTTTATGACCAATAAGATACTCATATATACCCCTAAAACTAGGCGCGAATTGATGAGATGAATTGCCTATTAGTTTTATAAATTTTAAGCATATAAATCGTAAGTTAAAAACAAGAGCTGTCACAGGAGACAGTGAAGCTCGACTTATTAATTATTGGACGCAGTTAGGAAGACACAACTATGAAAGAGGTTTATGATATAAATATCTGTCTGTATCAGTATCAAGAGATAGCACTCAAATGTTCTATATTTTTGCACAACATAATATGCATATGACCTTGTAAATAAATGTTAAACAGAAATTTCTATGCTTTTACGGAAAAGACATGCTTCAATGGAGAAGACAGCAATTAATTTGAAATCTGAAGTCAATCCCTTTAAAAACAAAAAAAGTGAAGAGCAAAAAGAATTTGAAGTTTTTAAAGTAAAATTAAAAGATCTATTGAAAAAGATGATGGAGTTATGAACATTGTTAAGTCTAGAGTAGATATCATATAAATAACAAAGATAATACTAAAAAATCAATTTACAATTGATTTCTAAGTTAAAAAATGAAATGGAGATAATTCTGGGAATACAGGAGCTTGCATTTTATAACTATTATCCATATGACAAGAAGTTAAAGTAAAAAAATACATTTGTTTATATAAATGCCAAGTTCAACGGGAAATAATTATGTAAATAGTCACGCGAGGGTTATGAACGTGATGTGGTTGATAATATGGAATATGAATTTGAGTTTGAAGTAGATATCTTTAAAAGTAAAGAAGTTATAGTAAAAAATAACATGTTTTTTAAGTAAAAAAAATAAGTTCATGGGGAGATATTGTTTGAAATGTTGCTGCTAGAGTTATGAATCTTGTTGCATAAGATGTAGTTAATAATAAGGAACATATTTCTGAAGTATGAAGTTGATTCCTAAATTAGTAAAGAATATACAGTAAAAAATAATATTTTTTAAAGAAAATTCTATGTTCAAGGGGAGATAATCTGAAAAAAGGTGCTAGAGCTATGATCCTTGTCACATAAGATGTGTTAATAATAAGGAACATGTTTTTGAAGTATGAAGTTTATCTCTTATGAAATAAAGAAGTAACAGTGTACAATCTCCGTTTTACTGGAGAAGTAATGTTTACAGATAAGTAAGATCATCATTTAAGGAGAGAAGTTTGTTTGATAAAAGGTATAACGCAAGATTTCCAAACTTAACTTTATTTCATACTTTAAACACCCATTGTAAAGAAACACACTAAATTGAAACATATATTAAATTTTGTATATTCTAGAAATGCCATAATTCGTTTTTTTTCCATTTCTAAATAAATGTATATGTATTTCGGGAATACCGTTGGTAACAGTCATACTATAAACTATCAATTGGTATTTGAATCGTCTTTAGTTGCAATACTTCTTAATGACAGTGACATTACAGATGAACAAACTGTTTAAACAGTTAAAAAAAAAGAATTACAAAAACAAGAGTTATAATATCGATGTAATATTGAACATTTGGTACAAACAGATTTTCAAATGATGACAGTGGTATATCTTTTATACAGAAAACTATCAGCTTCACTGGTAGGAAGAGAGGGATGTAATTAAATAATGAAATGGTTATGTTTTCAACATATTTTCAAGGAAATTTAAATAAATAGTTGAGAAAAAAATAATCTACATTGTCTCTGTTGCTTTTGGTAAAGTTGCTGGGAATATGTCAACATGTTAATTTAATTTTGTCCTCTTTTTAAATACATAATGTTGACTTGCACTGTTGGAAATTGCTGCCTCTCCTTATACCCTCCCACTTCAAGGTCCTGCAGGCTTTTCCTTGAATTATCAGTCCTCCTGGTACACGGAATGTCTGTGATTGGCTTGTCAAGGCAACATCTTCTGGAAGTACCTTATATCCCAATGATTTGTAATTTGCCAGCTGGTACAGGGTTTCAACAACATGACCACATGATCAGCTGAACAAGTCCAATAACAACTGATACCTCAGCTTCTTCTTAAAATTTTAATGATATCTGGAAGTAAATTGTAATAAGTGGTTTTATGTATACAATATATCAAATACTGTGATCACTTAAAGTGTTTGATAGCTTTTTCCTTCCTTACTTAAAAAATGCATTATTGCATTGTTATAAATAACCCAATGTATAATTAAACTGACATTTCCTTGAAATGTTTAAGACAGGGGATGTCATGTCTGAACAAAATATTGCTTTATTTGATGAAGGTATCCTAAAAAAGTAACCAGTAATTATTTTAAAAAAAGCCCAAGAGTACCGGAGATTGGTACAATAAAAATAATTGTATCACAAGCATACACACACAAAACGAACTTGCGAGCGTGCGTGTGTGTGTGTGTGCGCACGTGAGCGCTCGCGTGTGTGTGTTACACATTGGATATGTAAAACTATCGCGATTTACATGCGAAATACATGTATTTACAAACGTGACCTATTCGTCAAGAATTAAATCACGTTCGTTGCAATGAAATGTAAAAGGCTCAATCAAAAACTTTCACATATTATGTTTATAACAGGCAGCACCGACTTTTAAAAGAATACATTTATTAAGTTTGAATGCTTTTGATTATATATACTATATATGTATCATATAGGAGTTATAGAAATACAAAACAAGGAACGTCAAAACTATGGTTACCTAAGACATTATTTTCATGTTTTGTAAAAAAAAGAGAAATGTAGACCAGATATCGGCTTGTCTCACGCCAGTAAATGCGTGATGAAAATGCAACCTAATATCATTTGCACGTAATTACATATTGAAACCATCACTTGCAAATTAAAACTCTTGTATCTGCAAGGAAAATGCTTGTTACGCATATAGTTTTAAGTTTGATTTTATTGAAGAAAGTTAACATAACTGTAACCAAAATGCGATTACATTTAAATCGTATCCTAGAGAACGTAAAAACGCGTCGTTCATTTCTTATGCATACTATCTAATCAGTAAGAACAACATTTCCATATTCAATATTTCTTGCAAAATGACTAAAATGATCATGTACATACAAGAATAGAAGTAAGTAAGTCTATTCTGAAAATCCTGAAAATATTAAAATATAATAACAAGAAAAAAATAACTTTGCAGCAAGGAGAATTTTATAAAATCATGACTAGACTCCGTCGAGATATTGTATAAACTTATCTTTGTATATCATACAAAAAGAAAAAATAACACAAAACATAACTGCTGCAATGTACCATAAAACACTTGATTACCTGTTTTACACGTACATACAGACTGGAAGCCTTGGGTCATCGGCTAAAAAGAAATTACGCGTGATTAATTCCCTTACAACCAGCTGAAATATATCATTAATAAATTTGCTAAACAAATTAATATAACTAATGCAAATCTAATTATTCACGTTTAATTTTTAAGAAAAAGAAATACTGAATAGACTTTAGAATTTGTTCATTATTGAATGACTAAGGTTACATAGATGTTACAAAATTGTAGTTGTCACAGTAAAATTATCTCTTAATTACTTTTTATGATGTTCTTCGACAACTGCATCGTGATCGATTAAAATAATGCAGATCTTAGTTTAAAAAAACCCCGTTGGTTTACATGATGTTACGTTCGGAATTTTCAGTAAATCTACAATTATAGAGAAAATCAAACACTGCAAGCACTGAGGTATACATTGCTTGACAATACGTCTCTATTTGTGTTATCAAGACCATGTGATTTTAATCTACTGACCTCAATAGAGGTCATATTCTGGTTACAGTCAATCCCGAACACAAACCTAGGCTTATTTCTTCTCAAGTAATTAATAAGACAAGAAAGAGATGTCGTTCCTACAGACTAGGGCTGTGTTTTTCCAGGCAAGACTATATGGTTTGCGAAACTAAAGAGCAATACAGAAATCATTTTGCAAAGACCTGTTTATTATCTGCAGTACACAATACTGAAATAGTAAAATAGAGTCTTCTCTCAAATACAATTTGCAAGCGACTGACGAAGGTTACGGTTTTGACTCAAAGAGATCATGTTTAGTTCATAAGAACTACCAAAACATAAAGAATAAAATTTAATTAAATTATTTCTTATAAGATCAGATGAGAGTCACTGACACTTTGAATATAAATCAAAATCATTACAATCTGATTATTATATATATACAAAAAACTTCAAATTTTCTATTTCTTCTGCCCGAATGATAAACATGTAACATTTTTTTTACACATTTATGATGTGATATTATTCACCAGCACAATCAAAGAATGTAGTTTAAAGAACATGTCAAATGAATGACTTAGACTTTTTTTTCAATCATACAATATCCACAATATCTGTTTTTGTAACTTTCAGGATTTGTTCAAGTCACATGACTTGTTTTAAAAGTATTCGGTGATTCTGTTGACGTCTTAATTTGGTTTAACATTGTAGCGAAAATGGAAAAGTTACTTCCCCTTATTAAGTACGTACCATTTGTGTTCAACCAAACGAATAATTCCAGAAAAGGTAATTCTCATAAATTGTACCTGTAAGTTGATATCAAACATGTTTGATGATGTTGCATGATTTAATTACCTTTTACTTTTCATTTTGGAGTCCTTAGAACATTGCAGGTATATTATTTAATGTAGAAAAGGTAAGATTATATTCATTTTGGCGATGGTTCCCGAGTCATGTAATTATGTACAAAAGTAACGCATATTGAAAAGGTAAGCAGTATTTGATTCAATGATAGTAATATATTCAAGCGTTTACAAGATATGGAAGACGACAGAGGGCGCAAGCAGTCCCGAGCCAATATATAAGGCAGGTGAATGTGAGAAATTGAGAGTTGGTGTTTTGGCAGCGTGTTGAACAGTCGACAATCCTAAATGCTATACCTACTTTTTATATTCTTAGTTGCACAGTGCATAGCGCTGTGATAAGGCTGAGAAATATTAAGTAGAAAGAAAGCAAGGATTAAAGATTAATAAAGGAAGAATAGTTTTATAAGTAGAGAAATAGAGTACGAGAAAGAGGAAACGTATATATATAAATAGTATTTCAAAGGATATTAATTTAATAAATTGTTTAATAGGTATAGAAATCATTATTCGTTTTTCAATTAAAAGACAAGGTAGTCTCGAGGAAAATTATATCTATATATTTAATTCAATTTGGTAATTCATGCACATTTATTAAGCAATATAAATCATTGGTCTTCAATCAAATAATCATAAGGCAAAGAAGCCAGAGGAAAATTTAGTATCATACAGGTATAAGCTCGGTGCACGTTACAAATTTGGTGGCAGCGTGGTGGGATAAAAGATAAAGGATAAAATATAATAGTTAAACAGATAAGTACTTAATCAAGTACCGAGCCCTTAGCACAGAAACCATTATTTCATATATAAATCATGAATGACATGAGCATTGAAGACGAGCAAATATTGCTTAATAAAATCAAACTACTTGAAATAGAGAATGAAAGTCTCAGGGTCCAGCTCGAGATACATTCCCTGGACAAATTCTTGAATAAATCTGAAATATCCTCTGTGACGGAAAATTCAGCACAGAGCGTTGAACCAGATCACAAGGATAAGTCACCAGGCTTGAAGCACAGTACACCAAATGAGCCAGAAGTATTAGATTGTTATGGAAAAACACGGTTCCGGGGTTCTAGAATGAAGACCGAAGATACTGATTTGAAGCCTATATTAAAGTCTTCTAGATATAAGAATGAAGGCTCTCAAACTCCGACGTTAGGCCTGAGAAACATGAGAGGCGATGATGTTGAAATTCGGAATATGCCGTATAAAGAACATTCATACAGGGATAATTTAGATAAATTTCAGACACCAGTATTTAGTCCTAATACATCTTTTCGTATTCAAACAAAAAGACAATTGCCGCATATCCCTGAAAGAAAAATAATAGAAAAACGAGAGCAGTTGTCAAACACATTTTTGAATTTTGAACCACGTATTAGGTTTTCAACTCCTATGACTGATAGTAAAACGCATAGTAATACTTTCAAAAGTGAACAAGAAGACAGAGATTTAAGTCCGGAAACATGGGATCGTTTTGTGACTAAAAGAAAAAGGCTTTGTGATAGGGAAAATAAGTTACGCTTTGACATCCCGTATGAAGAAAACAAGAATTTTGATGACTATTTACAAGACTTAGGACCTGAAACTAGGAATACAAACCAGGCAGAAATTAACAGTTCTCAGGAATCAAAAGTATACATGAAGCCAGCAACTTTTGATGGAACAGGGTCATGGCTTGATTACAAAGCTCATTTTGACGCTTGTTGTGAGATTAACAGATGGTCTGAAAAACAAAAAGGTCTTTATTTGGCCGTTTCTTTGCGCGGACAGGCTCAGGGTGTATTCGGAAATCTTGGAACTAAAGATCGAAGCTTTAATGAATTAGTCAAGGCTTTAGAAGAGCGATTTGCACCTCCAAATCAAACAGAATTATATCGAGTGCAATTAAGAGAGAGAAAACAAAAACCGTCTGAGTCTTTATCAGAAATGGGCCAGGAGATACGAAGACTTACTAACTTAGCCTATCCCTCAGCACCTTCAGATGTGAGAGAAACCTTGGCAAAAGAGCAGTTCATAGATTCTCTCTTCAGTTCAGACATGAGACTAAGAATAAAGCAAGCAAGGCCTGTAAACCTCAACGATGCTGTAAGACACGCAGTAGAGCTGGAGGCTTTTCATAGAGCTGAGAGGCGAACAACAGATAATAAAAATTTTATGCGTACGGTTAGTCATGCAGAAAATTTAAATGTTAAGTTACAAAATTACGTTGAACAGTTACAGAAGACAGTGTCAGAAATTAAGAAAATTTTACAGGGCAATACTTGGTCAAAGTCTGCAGATTCTAGACAAGGGTTTAAGACACAGGATCTAAGAAATTCCGATGGTTCGGGTAAAATGTACACAAATTCAAAATACTCAAGTTCAAGGTATAGTAATAATAATAATAGAGATATGTCAAGTTCTAAATGTTATGAATGCGGTGAAAGTGGTCACCTTCGTTATAATTGCCCGAAACTTCATAACCAAGTTTCAAATTTTAAACAAACAAAATATGGTAAACATAGTGTAAAAAATACCAGTAAATATGGGTCTGGGTTATTTATAGAAGCTAGAATTAATAATTTTCCAGCAACTTGCTTAGTAGATACAGGGGCTACATTAACCGTAGTATCAAAGAAATTCATGGGTAACATTAATTCCCCTATGAAATTAAATTCGTTTACAGCTGATATCGTAACAGCATCAGGACAATTATTAGGTATACAAGGAAGCACGAAAATTAAAATTGAGATCGGGGATAATGCATCATTGCTTGATGTAATTGTATCAGAAATAGAAGGGGACGCAATCTTGGGTCTTGATTATTTCAAATCGCAAAATGCAAATATCGATCTTACAGAATGTGTTTTACGTTTAAATGGACAGTCTCATGAATTAAATTGTTCGGGGCCGATAGGGTGTTATAGGGTTATTGTAAAAGAAAGATCTGAAATTCCCGGAAATTCTGAAAAAGATACAGGGTAAAATTAATGATGCATCTAAGCCTACTAGAGGTTTGTACTTAGTTGAACAATTGAATCGCCCTGTTCTTGATAACGATGGTTTAGTTGCTCGAACACTTGTGCAAGCAAGTAACAGTATACCAATAAGAGTTATAAACTTGTCAGAAGAAACAAAGGTTTTGCATCCAGGAACTCATCTTGCTATCATGAGTCCTGTTAAAAGTGTGAACGAAGTTAAGGTATCAAGTGAAAAGAATAATTCTAATATCCCGTCTCATTTAAAAGATCTGTATGAACGAGCTACTAAAGATCTCGATAAAAATCAGTGTAAAGATGTTCACAAGTTACTGTGTAAATATTCTCATATATTCTCTGAGACAGATTCAGATCTAGGACGCACAGGAATAATTCGACACAAAATATCGACTGGGGATGCACATCCAATTAAACAACCTCTCCGAAGGCTTCCTCATCAAATGAACGAAGAAGTAAATAAACATGTTAATGAAATGTTGGATAAGGGAATTATAGAATCATCCTCAAGTCCTTGGGCTAGTGGTGTTGTATTAGTTCAAAAGAAAGATGGAACGCATAGGTTTTGTATCGATTATAGGAAATTAAACAATGTAACGGTAAAGGATGCGTATCCAATCCCGCGAATAGATGAATCATTAGATCAATTATCGGGCGCAAAATGGTTCTCATGCTTAGACTTAAGCTCAGGTTACTGGCAGGTTGAAGTTGAGCCCGAAGATAAAAACAAAACAGCTTTTATGACTAGGCAAGGGTTGTATCAGTTTAAAGTTATGCCTTTTGGTTTGTGCAATGCGCCAGCGACTTTTCAAAGGCTCATGGAGACAGTACTAGCTGGTTTACATTGGAGTGTTTGTTTGATTTACCTTGACGATATTATTGTCATAGGGAAAAACTTTCACAATATGCTGGATAACTTAGATACAGTGTTTAAAAGATTAGAAGAATCAGGTCTTAAATTAAAACCTAGAAAATGTAATATTTTTGCAAAGGAAGTAGAGTTTCTTGGGCACATTGTTTCGTCTGATGGTATTAAAACTGATCCACAAAAAGTAAACTGTATAAAGTCATGGCCAACGCCTAGAAATGTTCATGAACTTCGTTCATTTTTAGGACTTTGTAGTTATTACAGAAAATTCATAACAGGTTATTCAGATATTGCTAAACCCTTACATAAATTAACAGAGAAGTCTCAAAAATTTGATTGGAATACAGAATGTTCTGAAGCATTTAAATGTCTGAAACAGAAATTAACAGAGGCACCTGTGCTAGCGCACCCAGACTTCACACAAGAATTTATATTGGATACCGATGGTAGCAATGTTGCTATTGGTGGAATTTTGTCACAGAAAATAGATGGACATGAACGGGTCATTGCCTATGCAAGCCGATCATTGACAAAGGCTGAACGTAAATACTGTGTCACACGTAAAGAGCTTTTAGCACTTGTATATTTCGTCAAATACTTTAAACATTATTTGTTTGGTAAACAGTTTACAGTAAGAACCGATCATGGGTCACTTAGATGGCTTATGCAGTTTAAAAATCCGGAAGGACAAGTTGCAAGATGGCTTGAAATACTTGCTTCATACAATATGAAAATAGAACATCGACCTGGGAAAATGCATAGAAACGCTGATGCATTAAGTAGAATACCTTGTAAACAATGTGGAATAACAGGTCATCCAGTTAATGAAAGAAAATTTCAGGTTTCAGCAGCTCTTTTGACAAAGGATACAGATGATCAAGATTTAGACATTTCACTTCAAGTTGCACAGAATAATGACAAAGATATTCAAACAATAATAAAATGGTTGAAAGATGGGAAATCAGATAGTATGAATATCGGTTGTGAAAGTTACTATTTGAAATCTTTATGGGCACAAAGGCAAAGACTAAGTATACGTGAAGGACTCTTAGTTAGAAAATGGGAAGTGATAGGGACAAACTTTATAAATTGGCAGGCTATAATTCCAATTAGTTTTCGGGTTAAAGTCTTAAAATTCTCTCATGATATAAAGGCATCAGGTCATTTGGGTATCCGTAAAACACTTAGTAGAATAAGACAACGATATTACTGGCCTGGTTTACAAAATGATGTACGAAATTATGTTAGTACCTGTGAAAAATGCTTAAAACGCAAAGGCCCAATACCGAATAATAAAGCACCGATGAATGTAGTTAGGTCAGGTTTTCCAATGGAAAGAATTGCGGTAGATATATTAGGTGAGTTACCACAAACAGAACAAGGTAATAAATATATACTTGTAATTGCTGATTATTTCACGAAGTGGACCGAAGCATTTGCCATGCCAAACATGGAGGCAAAAACTGTTGCTAAAATAATGGTAGAACAAATTATAGCAAGGTTTGGGGTACCGAGTAGAATACCTTCTGATCAAGGTAAGCAGTTCGAAAGTTTAGTTTTTCATGAAATGTGTGAGCTGCTGCAGATACAGAAGACCAGAACAACACCTTACCACCCGCAATCAGATGGTATGGTAGAGGTTTTTAATAAAACATTAACTAGAATGCTTAGTATGTTTGTTGACGAGAATCATAAAGACTGGGATGAGTACTTACCTTATGTGATGATGGCTTATCGAGCATCTGACAACGAAACCACAGGTATGTCTCCCAACTACCTTATGTTAGATAGAGAAACATCTACACCTTTAGACATAGCATTTCAAGTTCCGTCAAATTTTAAATCAGTACCAATATCACATTGGGCATGGGAACTTCAAGATAGATTAGAAGTGGCACATGCTTTTGTAAGGCAACATACTGGAAACTCAATAAAAAGACAGAAAATGTTTCATGATGTTAAGCTCTCATTTAATACTTTTGAGCCTGGAGATCACGTTTTAGTTTATTTTCCAGTAAAAAGAATTGGTTGTTCTTCTAAATTCACATCTTTTTGGAAGGGACCTTTTGAAGTAAAAGATAAGATATCAGATGTTTTGTATAGAGTTAATTGTGGTTATAATAAAACTTTACAAGTAATTCATGTCAATCGTATGCGAAAGTTAAAAAGTCAAATTCTTCCAGAAGATACTCATATATCTCAAACAGGACTTTCAGAAAGCATAGAAGATACAGAGATAGAAGAAAATAATTATGTTTCAGAAATAGATAATAACGAAGATGATATGCAGACGAACAGATATGGAAGAAAAATTAAGAAACCATCATATTTAAATGACTATGTATTTTCTATTTCCAGAATGGCTAAGACAAAACAGACAACGAGAAAACCTTTGCCAAAGACTTTATGTCCAATATGTAAGGACCTTGTGCTTGAAGAGAAGTTTCTACAGCACATAATGTTATGTAAGAAGAACAATGATAGGTTGTGCTGTGTGACATGCAAAATGTATTTTAAGAAGGAGATTTACAGAAGCAAACATATGAAGAGAGTGCATAGCACTGAAACTACAGATAAGGAAACTCCAAGTACAAGTCAAGAGTGTTGTAAAATTGGAGACGAAGATTCTGATTGGGATAGGGATCCTGACATTGAAATATGTGAGGAAAAGACTGATAATGTCACAGATCAAAAGAAAGAGACAGAAGATTTAGAATCAATAAAAATTGGAAGATTGTATAGGAAGAGAACCCTACCAAATCCGGTGATAGCACCAGTCACTAGAAAGTGTCCGAAACTTGATAATGATATAGAGCAAGAAAATAAATTGGACCCGGCAGTGAAATCTTGCAGTTCCGTTGAAGATCTCCCAGACAATCCTCAGGGCATAGATAATTCAGGAAGTACAGATGATAATAATATCAATAATGTGGACAAAAGGGAGTGTGAATTAAATTATGATGATTCAGAAGAGGATGAGGAGCAAAGTTATGAAACTGTTACAGATATCAAGGAAGATGAAGTCAAAGAAACTGATGAACCATCACCATCATCAGTTAAAACAGTTGAAAATAGTGTCGCTCCATCCGAGGAGAAAATATCCATTGAGATAGAGAAGGAAAAGCTAGAGATAGAGAAGAAAAAGATTGACTTAGAAACAGCTAAATTTGAATTTAAGAAAAATATGTTGACAAAGCTAATTGACATTGTGTCAGACATGTAGAGACAAGGAACATGATTTAAAAGGACAGGAGTGTTATTTAAAATGTAATAATATTATTTTCTGTTATTTTGTTGTATAAGCAAGAAGCTTGATGCATAATAAAAGTTTATTTTGAACCGTGAAATTGAGTTCATCATGCGGGACGCATGCCTTTCGGAGGCGTGGGTAATGTAGCGAAAATGGAAAAGTTACTTCCCCTTATTAAGTACGTACCATTTGTGTTCAACCAAACGAATAATTCCAGAAAAGATAATTCTCATAAATTGTACCTGTAAGTTGATATCAAATATGTTTGATGATGTTGCTTGATTTAATTACCTTTTACTTTTCATTTTGGAGTCCTTAGAACATTGCAGGTATATTATTTAATGTAGAAAAGGTAAGATTATATTCATTTTGGCGATGGTTCCCGAGTCATGTAATTATATACAAAAGTAACGCATATTGAAAAGGTAAGCAGTATTTGATTCAATGATAGTAATATATTCAAGCGTTTACAAGATATGGAAGACGACAGAGGGCGCAAGCAGTCCCGAGCCAATATATAAGGCAGGTGAATGTGAGAAATTGAGAGTTGGTGTTTTGGCAGCGTGTTGAACAGTCGACAATCCTAAATGCTATACCTACTTTTTATATTCTTAGTTGCACAGTGCATAGCGCTGTGATAAGGCTGAGAAATATTAAGTAGAAAGAAAGCAAGGATTAAAGATTAATAAAGGAAGATTAAGAATAATTTTATTAGTAGAGAAATAGAGAACGAGATAGAGGGAACGTATATATAAATAGTATTTCATGTAGGACATTAATTTGATAAATTGTTTAATAGGTATAGAAATCATTATTCGTTTTTCAATTAAAAGACAAGGTAGTCTCGAGGAAAATTATATCTATATATTTAATTCAATTTGGTAATTCATGCACATTTATTAAGCAATATAAATCATTGGTCTTCAATCAAATAATCATAAGGCAAAGAAGCCAGAGGAAAATTTAGCATCATACAGGTATAAGCTCGGTGCACGTTACAACATATATCGATATTTTTAGAATTATTTACACTTCAAACTCCAAATATATAGAACTTATACTTAAATTCATGCCGGAACTTCAAAAGACGTCATTTTAGCATGATTTGAGTACATAGGATCATTTAAATATTGTTGTCATTATTTTGCCTGAGTATATCATCATTTAACGCATCATCATCATCATCATCATTATTATCATCATTTCATCATCTCATCGTTTGTGACTTCAGTCTGGTGCTCATTTAACATACAGGTGTCTACATATACACAATCTAAAATCCATGTTTCTAAAATTTTCTGGAAAAGTTCAGTCTTAAACACCTGCGACAGCGTTTAATTCTCGTCCTTTTTATGCTATATGAAAGCTACTGGTGCGTGTCGGATGCATATTTTATAATACACGCTTTTACCTTTTCAAGCAAATTTCAGACATGCAACGGTTTTTAATATTATCTTTTTATGGAATTTTCACTTCATACTTTTATATATAAATTATGCTGCATAATCAAAACCATTTAAACAGGCAGGGAAAGTGGTAGTTTTCTTAAATTTGAGATAAAAATCATAAAAAGATGAGCATCTACATCGATCGAATGGGGCACAACGGAAACTCTTTTTGACAAAATCAAGAAATAGACTCATAATTAAATGTTTGCGATCCATAGCCATTTTGATTTAAAAGACCATAAACGTTTATAATTTTAAGTTATTTTGCAAAATGCAAATGATTATTTTAAGTAATCGTACAGAGTGAATTGATCTAAAATTTAACAATTTTGTTTCGTTCCTGAAGTTCTTTGTGGTTATGGCTCAAATGGCGAGCCAAATAAGTCGCAGTAGATTATCCCAAGAAAACTGCGAAATTACTGAAGGAGGCAAAACTGTTAAGCTATAGAACACTGCAACAACACAGAACTAAGCTAAAAGTTATTACGTCTGAACTGAACCATATCATTTTAAAAGGAGACCTTTTCAATAACTTTGAATAGATACAGGCTTTAGTTAACAAGAATCTTTAGTTCCATTTCGCCTCCTACTGAAGATCAATCCTAATTTTAGTGATCATACTTTAAGATGACTAAAAACTGGGGGAAAAAGACACCAAATACATGCTGTTGATTATAATAAAAATTGGTGCATTCGTTCTCTTGAAATGATAAAATATAATTAAAATTGTAATTTTATTAGATATAATAAGTTTGCGTGTTTCATGGTCTGTGTAGACGGATATATAACGGATTGTCAACACGATATTGATGCAAGCTTAACACACCTTTTGTTTATGACGTAAATATAAAACACTAACTATTAATTTGTAAACCGAGAAAGCTGATTGTCGCGATTGTCGTCATATGTGACAAGCTCAGCAATTTTTGACACAAATGTGATATTTGGGCAAAAATGAGTTGTGACTAGTTTGAGGTAGAACAACATCTGCTGAATAACTGAAAACAATTTTTTTTCAAATACTTGATATTTTATGAAATATTGTAATTTGTATGACATTACCATAAAAACAAAAAATACATTTTAAACTTTTATTGGTATATATAAGCTAGAAATAACTCCATAGTTATACACAATAAAATAAAATATAAAGTTATCATTCATCTTGGTGTAATATATGTAATAACTTGATATAAAAGCTATCATTTGTTTTCAAAAATCGGTTACCATGGCAACACAAATAAAAAAAATCGTCAAATGCAATATTTATGCACTTACATTGATTAACTCATCACCAAATTAATCCATATTTATATAAAAAGACAACAATATTTAAGACTTTTCAGAAAAAAAAAGAATTTTTCATTTTTCACTTAAATTGTTATTGATAAAAAATATAAACATAAGATTTAAACTCTCAGAATTTCAGTAACTTTTCCATGATTAAAATATAACAAGATCAACAAGGAAAGGCGGCGTTCAATGAACGTAATTTCATAACTTAAGTTAGTCCACTTTAAAACGCATAGCTGTAACATGTTAGTACATAAATCCAATGCAAAACAAATATTCTGTAATGCACTGATTACAAAAATTGTGTATTTTGGTTGCCATGGTAACAAAAATATACAAAAAAGCTGAATGAGTTAAAATAACGGCATTTTATAAAAAATATTCCATATCAAATAATTTTATTCACTGTGACAGTAACTTCAAAAGTATTTCAGAAATTTAACCAAAAATAGAAAGAGCTTGCACTAGTTATTTTCCTGACTATATATACAGTTACAGATTTTGACAGTGTAACCATATTCTGATCACTGTATTTTTAATTGTATAACATGAATTACATATTAGTATATTTTTAAATTAAAATAATGTCAATAATTGGAAACAGTTACAATAACAGATTCTTGCAAACACATGGGAAGTCACAAATGACAGCTCACTTATGTCCTTGAATGTAGTCTTGCAACCCCAGGTTGAGGGTTTGACCCAAACAGGGAACAACAACCAACTTGCGAAAACTTGTTTCACAATTTAGTAAAAATACTGTAACATCTGCCACTGCAGTATTCAGCTTTTTCAAGGGTACTTCTGAAGACATAAACTCTATGAGAATGTAATTCACTTTTGGTAGATGAATCACTGACTTCTCACATGCCATCCTGAAATAACAAAAACATGAAAAAGTATATATAAAACAATATAGTGTACATGATGATTTGACTGAACAGAAATGAACTACAAGTAAATTGTTGTGTAGTGTTGTACAGCTATTTGGTTCATATAAAGTCTTTTTCATGTAAGTTCTTGTGTAATATATTACAGTCTATATATCATGTACGAGTAGCAGTAACATGACTAAAATAATCTGAATCTACATTATGTGCATGTATTGTGGTGACGACACCTCACTTTTTATTTCACAAAATAGTTTATTTAATATGGAATACTGCATTGATATACATGCTTTAATAACCCAATTGAAGTGTTTTTTATCTTGACCAATACTACATAGTTTATACATAGTGATTGTCTTTTTTACTCCATACCCCTGGTGCTCAATAGGACATAGATGTCACACATTGTACCGTCATTTCAAACAAAAGTTTAGTATTTTCATCAGCAAATAGATGAAACATCTATGTGTTCTGAAAATTATGTATATGTTCTTAAAGAGCATTGTTTTCAATACATTACACAGCGTATTTGCACAAACAATACAGCATTATTTCTAAATATAAACTTAAAATTAAGTTCATGATACTGAACAGAGCTTTTTAATTTTAAAACAATATTTTTAAGATCTCATCTGACATCATATATAAAATGCTAAATTGCAAATAAGTTACATTGCTTTTAACGGCAATTCAGGAAAGTTTTCACTATCATTATTCGATAAAAATGTTTGAGAATGGTCAGTTCATGATGATTATTTACATATGTATACAATGATTACAATCATCATCATTTGATCTTTAAAGCAAGCATCAAAACACTTACAAGTACATTCCCTTGTGGTCTTGAAGAATATGGCTATAACATGCTCGGTATTATCTACGTCAAAACTTTAATGAACTAAGTTTAAGATCTTAAATGTATGTTGGCTGACCTAAAATTACAACACACAATATTTCATCAGCAAAAAGGACTGGCTCATTAATGTTCTGTTAGTGGAAGTTTGGGGTAATTTACTCATTGATTTTGGCTTCCAAAATGTAATGCTTTTCCTTCTTTACTTATAAAGTGACTTCCAATTACAGACATTTTGCAGTCTTTGACTGCCAATGTATGGTACCTAATAGAAGCCCTGCTGGAAGCATAATTATGCTATGTGGTATTCTTGAGTAATGCGAATATAATATGATTTATTGTAGATACTACCATAGGCAAAAAGATAATAATAATAAATGCATTTTTAATATTTATCTATTTATCTATGGTGACATCTTCAATCCCAGTACTCAGAGATCTATTTATTGTATTTCAAAAGCAGCATGCAGTACAGGGATAACATTTTCTTTACTAAATTGGATCTTGAATTGTAATAGAAATTCATTTGTTAATAATTACAGTGCTGTACAGTAGCCTTGTCATATATTTCCTTTAAAATTTACACAGACATTTTAGAAATATTTTATGCAGTATTATTCTACTTGATGTAAATCTATATCAAGCTTATTCATTGAAAACAAACAGCAAAATATGTTATGTGTCCAGTTACATTTTTGTCCCAGTAAAGTAGAAGTGATGTATCACTTGTTTAATATTTTCATTGCAGCCTGGACTTTAATTTATTTTATAATGTAATCAATGTCAAACTTAGAAAAGAAGTTAACAATAATTTTCTATACTGTAAAGACCATGACAAATACAAATCATGTGCAATAAACAATGTATCCCAAAAAAATTGTCTATCATGATCTGACTTAGGTTAGATGCCTGCCATGTTTTTTTTTTAATTTATAAACCAGTTCAAGTGTCATGGTCCCATTTATTTAATTGTTTAAAGTAAAAATACGATGATTATTCAACATATCAGAAAAAAGAACAAAGCATAAATAATAAAAAATGCACTTAACTTAATATTTATTTTAATCTCCAAATATGCAATAACATAGAACTGACGGAAATGGTAGATGTTCTACATGTGTTTACTCGCTGACCTGACTCCCATTGAAGTTAAAACAGTGTATTTATGATAAATATAGATTTTGGGGAAAACAGTACATGTTTATCGTGAGGAAGCTGAGAAAGTAGTTTTTTATTTTTTTTTCAAGTTTTTTCTATGTTTTCAACTTTCAAAGATACTCTGTTTGAAAGGAAACCCTAAAAAATAAGACATGAAAACTCGCGTGATTTTGCAAGCGTTTTCTCACAATGATTAAAAATTTAATTGTGCCAAAAATCGCTGAGCGCGTCACATATAGTCAACAAGTAGAAATGTTCTGCTAAATGCACTATCATATTTAGAAAATCTGCAAAAAATGTAATATGTCTCATAAGACGCAGCATGACCGCGAAGGCTAGTAGATATTCTTTTGTTTATTCAGCAATTGGGAAAATTTGAGCCTTGCTCTTGTTTATATTTTTTCTCTTACCAAAATAACCAAAATAACACTGTTTTCGAATTCTCTTATAAAAATAGTTTTTTTTCTGATTTTCAACATGGCACCTAGCTTAACGGAATGAAGATCAACGTCTAACTTAAGTGATAGTGCCATGTTTGAATGTCGTATTTTTTTTCTTTATCTTTTTTTATTTACAAAATAAATAACGTTTTAATGAGACAGTCTATATTCTTATGACGGCAACCAAATTTGGACATGGACAGGAAACCATTGATTAGAGTGTTACTCATAGCAACTTATTCCGTTGCTTGCCGTAATTCAATTTTCAATCAATTGTTGCCTCCTTATATTTAAGAGAACAGTTCCAATGCACAACATACACGAATAATTGTAAACACTGCAGAAATGCCTAGAAGTTTCAGCAATTTGAAGGCTTTAAATCAGTGTACAAACGTCGTATTATGCCTCAGTCGTAGGGTATGTGTTGACACTATAGGCTAGGTGGATTTTGGTATTTCCTACCGTGAATTTGTTTGCTTCGAGCAGACCTTTAAAATTTTATCGCAACAGACAAACATTTGTTTTTTTTCCGAATATCAGACATGGTTTTACTTAACTGCATTCCTTAACCGCAATGTCTTCATCATTTACGTCATTAAAAAATCTATAGTGCGGCTTACTTACCCTTTCCCAAGTAGCCATAACCATTTCGTATGCTTTAGACGGTGTTTCGCCTTCTTGACAAAATTTACTATTGATCGAATTTCATGATGTTTCAATGCCACCAGAACAAGAATCTTACTGATAAAATTGGGTTGTGTTTGGAACGGAAAATGCTGTTTAAATGACGTCATTTTTACTGATAACGTCATGGACAAAGCATCAGTGTAAAGGTGTGTTTTCGATAAAATGTGATATCTAAAAGATAACATTATGTGAAAGATAGGTTATTCTCTAATTGACGGTCTCAGTCCGGTCAATTTTGATCAACCTTTGTATTGATGAGCATTTTAACAGGTACATTCGCACCTATATGTTATGAATTTGAAACGTTCGTATTTAAAGACCTTGGCATAATTACCATGACAGTTATTTTTTATTTCATCACATCATTAGTGATGATTGACGCAAATATAATGAATATAACTGATACAAATCATCAACAGATACATAAATAGTTTAATTTCGACTCATTGAAATAATTTGTTATTTTGCTTGATTACCCTTGGTTTGAAATAACTACGACTTCTTGTTCATTAATATTTATCATAAGTCAATTGTAACGAATGCCTTTATTTTGCCTGGTGTAGTCTTGCTGAAAAACGAAATACAAAGAGGGCAATGATTGCCCTAAATTGCTCATCTAAGGAATGATTAACAGGCTCAATCAAACCGAGCCTGCAACATTTTCAATTTTGCCGTGTTAAACTTTCTTTAGGGATTCTTATTTTCTCTATTTTATCGCCACATCAGCGTTGTTTGTGCTGTGTGGAGGCAGTAAAAAGTCGCCCCGTACGTTCAATCAGAGATGTTATTTATCCAATCCTTTAAGATCGTTCAGAACGACATACTTTTGTGTTTGTGTTATTTTTAGTTTGGCATGTTCTAGTTGGGTGGTTTTAATATCAATATCCCTACTTGAATAATGTTGAATCACCCCTGCTCTTTTTACGTCTTATCTTTGATATGCAGGCTTCGTATTTTGTTCAATAGTTAATTTGTTCAATAGTAAATTTAGTCAAGAAGACAAAACACCGTCTAAAGCATACAACATGATTATGGCTATCTTGGGGAAAAACTTAAGTAAGCCGCACCATAGCTTTTTTATTGACATAAACGATGAAGACATTGCAGATATGGAAGGGAGATGCTGCAAGGTTGTTGGTGACGTCAGTCGCTTAGAAAGTTTATAAAAGATAAACGATGGACAATGTTCGGCACCATCTATGGGACGGTGTACTCAATTCTAACTAAGGATTTTAAATGAGAAATGCATTAATACTTATATTTTTCGTTAAAAATTGTTTAAATTGTTTTACTTTTTATAACGAATTTAACAAAATTATCAATGTTCTTACGGTATCATTTTATTAATGTCACAATAGGGACTACGATGGGATACCAGGCCGACCACAATTGCTATCTAAACACCCAACAACTCAGAACAGAAAAATATATACAAATTTATTTACATAAATGAATATTTATAAATGAAAAATGATTATATATGATAAACTACTATGATAAGTCACTGCACAAACAAACACTATCAACGTATCTCAGTCTATTTCTCCCGTAAAGTTTCTGTCATGATGTATCAATAAAGTGGTGGCGTTGTTAAACAAAGTTCGTCACAATGGCGGGCGTCTTGTATAAAATCTTATCAAGCGTAACTGTACTTCCTACAGTGTTGGCACAGTTGATAGGATCCTGAACAAGGGCATGCGTCACCCTTTAGCCATGGACATACGTGTGGAGGGCCCGTGTCATCTTCGGGGTGTCCTCAAATAAGAAGCTACAAAGTATAAAACATGATAAGTTCCATGATAATCAAACATAAGGGTATAATAAAGTCCCTTGGAAAAGACTCGACCTTTGTCGGTTTCCAATAAAATAACGTGCTTCTTTGAATAAACAAAATGTCCACTATAGTACACCATACATTCCGTGGAACAAAAATTCAATCACATCCGCATAATACTGCGTTGCAAATATATTCAAATATATGCCACATAATAACCACCAATAAATAAACGTCTTCCAAAATCATGCCACTGAAGATCCTTCTCTAGAGATACGCTAGTTTTGATACGTTGTATTTACTTATAACAAAAACTGATGATAAATGAAATGAAGTAAGATGATAACGAAAATTAAATTGATTGAAACAAATCATTACGATACTGCAGCATTTTACATAAAGTTACACAAATACGGTAGAACCATAATAAATTATTTATGAATAGATATATATATCTATAAAATATTCATGGCTCCTATACAATTACAATATAATTAAAACTTCAATTAACATACATCAATTAACATGTCTCGGTATAAATTTACAATAGCGAAACACTAGAATAAAAAGAGCTTTTAAAATTTAATCTGCAAAAATTTAGAAAATTTAGAAAACAATAAATTACTGCCAAATAACTAAACCTGAATCAAATAAACTATAATTCTAATAGAAAATAGTATTTACGAAATAGCAAAAATTTATGAAACAAAATCACTAGAAAATTAAATTTACCTTGTACAAGCTGTAATTTTATGACAAATATAGTTTGTCTGTCACCGTCATAGTGACCTGTATAACGTCCAGTGCATTGCAATATGTCACTTAAAATTTAGTCAATATATAGCAAACTACTGAGTACTGAGCGGGAAAACAGATCGTGCAAAACATGAAAAATCGATTTGCACGAAATAAAGCTGGGACGGCGGGAAAAATAGTTATGTGAAATAAAGGCCCGTCCTTCAAATACAGACATAATACATATATCTGGTTCATAAAACAAAAATGTAACTTCTTATTACTGAAAGGATTTTTGTGAAATAAACGGCAAAATGTTTAAATTGAGACATGG